TTTCTCACTACTTATAAAACAACTCGGTATTTTCTTTCTCACTACTTATAAAACAACTCGGTGTTTTGTTTCTCACTACTTATAAAACAACTCGGTATTTTGTTTCTCGTTACGTATAAAACAACTCGGTATTTTCTTTCTCACTACTTATAAAACAACTCGGTATTTTGTTTCTCACTACTTATAAAACATCTCGGTATTTTGTTTCTCGTTACGTATAAAACAACTCGGTATTTTCTTTCTCACTACTTATAAAACAACTCGTTATTTTGTTTCTCACTACTTATAAAACAACTCGGTATTTTGTTTCTCACTACTTATAAAACAACTCGGTATTTTGTTTCTCACTACTTATAAAACAACTCGGTATTTTGTTTCTCACTACTTATAAAACAACTCGGTAGTTTGTTTCTCACTACTTGTCAAACAACTCAGTATTTTGTTTCTCACTACTTGTCAAACAACTCGGTATTTTGTTTCTCACTACTTATGAAACAACTCGGTAGTTTGTTTCTCACTACTTATAAAACAACTCGGTATTTTCTTTCTCACTACTTATAAAACAACTCGGTATTTTGTTTCTCACTACTTATAAAACAACTCGGTATTTTGTTTCTCACTACTTGTCAAACAACTCGGTATTTTGTTTCTCACTACTTATAAAACAACTCGGTATTTTGTTTCTCACTACTTATAAAATTACTCGGTATTTTGTTTCTCATTACTTATAAAACAAATCGGTATTTTGTTTCTCACTACTTGTCAAACAACTCGGTATTTTGTTTCTCACTACTTATAAAACAACTCGGTATTTTGTTTCTCACTACTTATAAAACATCTCAGTATTTTGTTTCTCACTACTTATAAAGCAACTCTGTATTTGTTTTCGCATTGCATGTGAAACAAGAAGGGGTTTTTTTTCTTATAACATGTCAAAATCTAGATTTTCCTTCTCATTAATTGTTAAAGACCTAATTATTGCTTCTCATTACTTGTTTAAACAATAGGTATTTGGTTTCCCACATCTTGTTACACTGCTCGGTATTTGGTTTCTCATTACTTGTGAAACAACCCAAAATTTGGTTTCCCTTCCCTTGTTAAACAAGTAGGTGGTTTGTTTCTGATTACTTGTCAAAACAACTAGGTGTTTGGTTTCTGAATGCGTTTGAAAAATAAAGGTGTTTTGTTTCTGATTTCTTGTCAGAACAACTAGGTATTTTATAGACACAATTTTTATGGATAACAACTTCTTTAATACTGTGAAAAGCGACGTTTCGGTATAGATCCTTATACCATTGTCAAGCAGTCTATACCGAAAAGTCGCTTTTCACAGTATTAAAGAAGTTGTTATCCATATATATATATATATTGATAAAATAAATAAAAAAAATAAAAATAAATAAAAAGAATTGTGTCTATCTTGTCATCCGTCAACTTCTAAGTAATGCCTATTAAACAAAATTTAACTAGGTATTTTGTTTCTCATTATTTGTTAAACAACAGTTACTTGTTATTTGGTTTCACATTACTAGTTAAACAACTAGCTACATGTATTTGGTTTCTTTAACCTGTGAAAGTAATTGGTATTTTGTTTATCATAACTTGTTAAACAAATCTGTATTTGGATTCTTATGACTTCTGAAAAAAACTGCACCTGGTTGTATCAAACCGTCATAAACTATTGTTTGTCTGCATTAAACCCTAATGATTCATTTAATTATAAATGGACTATTAGCTAATGGCATAATTAAAATCAATTGTATCAAACGTTTAATGGCACATGATTATCTAATGATGCCTTAATGTAAGTGGTTTCATTAACCCTTCATTAAATTCGGGGTTTCCCCAAAACGTTCCCAACATTCCCTGGCGTAAATACGTATGCGTTACTTCGGGTCATCTGTCAAAATGGCATCGAATCAACCTAAACCTAATAATAGAAACAACAATTTCAAAAGCTACGAAATCCATCTATTAGCCGAGTTGATGGAGTAACACACCTCCATACGTTACAGTAAGTTGTGTAGCACCGTTACCAGCGAAAGAAAATAAAGCTGTTTGGGCAGAGATAACTTTCAAAGTTAACGCTCCCGGTGTTTGTCATCGTACAAGAAAAGAAATAAATACAAAATAGACGGACGTACACCGGTCGGCCAAAAGAGAATTCAACAACAGACAGATGGACATGAGGACGAACAGGGGAGGGCCCTGTATTGCCCCACTTTCAATGACGAGTGAAAAGATAGTCGACATTTACAAGGAGGGTCCCAGTTTCTCTGGACTCATGGGCAGCAAATAGGACGATCTAGTGATGCAAATGGGCATGTCGCCTGCATTCAATAAAACATCGATACACAAACTGTTGTAAGTGTTAAAAAGTAGCTTATACAACCTTGAACAAGGCCATGTGCTGTCGGATATTGCACATGATTTGATGATCATTTATCAAGAGAAAAAGTAAAAAGAAAACATTTAACCAACCTTCGTAACAACTCTTTTAATGAGATTGGCACTTGTGCTAAAATACAATTACATTTGTAATGGTATGTCCCATCCCCCTATTCCCCTATTCAAGACCCAAAAGCTCATGTTATGTTTTTCAAATCTTCGTCTCCAAATGAACATTTTATGATTGTGAAGAATTTATACTATTCAAATGAAATTTTATTATGACAACGAAAATAACGTTGAAAATATGTCTCATTATAGCAAACTTATTTATCTTCGACGTGGTTGAAGGCTTAAAATAGGCGTGGTTTCAAACACAAATTTATCATACAATTCTAATATATCCTTCATTTGGTTATAAGGCCAATGATAATAACCCCGGTGCCAACGTGAGTAACAGAAAAACACTTTTACAACCAGAATGTTTTTGACTATTAAAGGCTGAAGATTTTTTGATTTTTTTTATCTACAATTTCATCATTTGTCATGAGTTGGAATAAATATTTCTGTGGAATATTCACGGCTTGAGATCATAAGCTGTGACTGATGTACTATATCTTTGTTAAACAACGATTTCAGTAATTACAACATTTTCGAATGTAAGGCTAAATGATCTCTATACGTTGACGTTTCTCAGGTGGCATTCCGGCTTGTTTTAAACATCATTCGTCACAATATTTTGAACGAGTTTACTCCCTTTGGGACGATTTTCCTTTTTTGCAGAATTAAGGATGAATTACATCTACCCTGAGGGTTCTCCAGTATATGCTAATGAGGAGGGCAGTGGTGTAGACAAGTTAGAACGCCATTTCATACATATTCTCCATGATTATGGTGACTTGTGAAAATTGATCTTATGTGGAGATTTTAATGCAAGGACTTGTCAGGAATTAGATTATTTGATAGATGATGAAATGGATTTTCTACCTATTGATAACGAATACACTTCACATGAATTTTACCAAGAACGATGTGTCAGTGATTTTCATATAAACAACTATGGTAGAGCCTTACTTGACCTGTGTAAGTTACTTGGGGTTCACCATCGTTAATGGTAGGACAAAATCAGATGGTCCAGGTAATCTTACTTTCATTTCTCACACAGAAAGTAGTACTGTAGATTATTACATTGTTTCATCGAGTTTATTTGAATCTGTTACAGATATGTCAGTGGCTGAACGAACCGACTCAGATCACTTGCCTTTTGTCTGTCACTTCAAAGATTTTACTCCTTGTTCTTTTCAACAAAATAATAATGTCAACGCTGCATCTGCCTCATTAACCCCTGTACCAAAATATAGACTTCCTCCTGATCCAGTTGTTTCCTACCACCTCCATCTCGGTAATACCTTAAGTGGAGAAATGTTTAATGAGTTTGCAGTTATTTTGAATGATAACCTTAACGCAACAGTGACTAAGCTCACCAACATTGTGATATGTTGTGCTACAAGTGCTGGCGCTGTTTGTTCTTGGTCCAGTACATGTCGTTTATCTCAGCAAGCCTGGTTTGACAGCGAGTGTCAGAATATGAAATCTAGAAAGTATTTATATCTCAACAACTTCAGAAATCATAAGTATGATTTGAACCTGCACAGATATATAAGTGCAAAAGCAGAATTTAAAAAGATTTGTGAACCTAAGAAGAAACTGTATGACATAAAAGTGAGTGAAGAAATTAAGTTAGCAGCACATTATGGAGATTGTAAAACGTTTTGGAAAATACTTAACAAGTCGTTACGTAAAAAATCACCCGACAGTAAAAAACTCCTAATGTATGGCTTCCATATTTTCAGAATTTATTGAATTCGATTTGCATGACGGCCAAAACAGAATTTGATCTATTAATATCTGATATTTTAGATACTCATATGTGTGATGAATGTAATGATCTTCCATCAAAGGGAATATTGTTATCTGGTGAGATCACAGAACAAGAAGTGAGGGAAGCATTACAATGTCTTAAAAATGGTAAGTCGTCAGGCGTTGATGGAGTCCCACCAGAATTTTACAAAATATCAGGAGATTTTTTGATACCATATTTGTTTTTTTATTCAATAAAATCCTTGATACAGGTATTTTCCCCGATGCATGGAATATTGGAATGATAATGTCTTTATACAAATCAGGAAATGTCAGTCAACCAAACAATGACAGAGGTCTGGAGGACTAACCACCTGAAACGTGTTACAACTCCCTCTTTGATCCAGGGATTTTAAACAGAATTATTTCATATTTGCAGTATAACCCTCTGCCATTCCATCGAGGGTCAGTACGATCTCTCTACCAGACAGTATCTCACGTGGCAGCACCTCTAATCACTTTCATCAGATTGGACCCGATTATGACCCTTGACCTGTCAGCACTTGCATCATTACGTTTTCATAAACTGAATTAACTGACCAATACACTCACTGACATTTATTTAAATCATAATATTAGAGACTGATATGGCGATGACGAAATATAATATTAAGGTGTAATAAAGTTTGATTCCGAAAGGTCCAAACGGCGTTATTTATATGTTTTTTTAAGAAACTAAAATTCATACTCACGTTTATCAGTCTGGAAAAGCTGATACCCAGGGACAGCAGCTGACGTCACATCAACGTTTTTAAAACGTTCTCTGAGAGTGACACAGGTTTGCCCATCAGGATAGAGTTGAACACTTAAACAGTACTTATCTCTGCCACATTCAGCAAAACATTCGATCTTGCTCAGATTTGCGAAAATCTGTATTTCTGACTGTGATATCTTCCTCCCGTCGTACTCCTTAAGGTGTCGCGCATGCACAGACGTGCAGGCCTCGGAGGCTGCACCATGTGTGAGCATGGTGAGACCAGCTGAGTTGATGCAGATGAAGAGGAGCCCGAGGAGAGACAACATCTGCAGGATCTGGGGTTAGAAAATAGCCAAATCCTTTCTTGAAACAAATGAACGGTTTCACACCAACATTACTTTGAAAGAATTACAATAAAGTTGGGTATTGGTATGTTGGCTTCATGTCGGCAGCTGCTCTTATGTCACGTAACAACCTCAGTTATACAGAAAATCAATAACGGGATGCGCAGAAGACAACATTGATGCAAACAGTAGGAAACGATGAATAGTAATAAGGTTGTCGTTATACATTGACTCCTTATGACAAGTACATTATTGCTTTTGACAAATGAAGACAAATCAATCACTCCTGTAGAATTTATTCAAATGTCAAATGATCTTTGTTCTTTTGAATGATTCCTAACGTCCTGCTTTATATCACCATCTTGTTATCCACTCCGAATACAACCATGGTGTTGTCCCCTTCCTATATCACCATGAAGTTGTCCCCACCCTATATCACCATGATGTTGTCCTTGTCATATATATCCATGATGTTGTCCCTGTCATATATCACCATGATGTTGTCACCACCCTATATCACCATAATGTTTTCCCCACCCTATAGCACCATGATGTTGTCCCAACCCTATATCACCTTGGTGTTGTCCCCACCCTATATAACCATGATGTTGTCCCCACCCTATATCACCATGATGTTGTCCCCTCCCTATATCACCATGATGTTGTCCCCACCCTATATGACCATGATATTGTCCCCACCCTATATCACCATGATGTTGTCCCCACCCTATACCGCCATGATGTTGTCCCCGCTCAACACCACCAACTACTTGTCCCCGCCCTATACCGCCATGATGTTGTTCCCGCTCTATATCACAATGATGTTGTCCATGTCATATATCATCATGATGTTGTCCCCACCCTATATCACCATCATGTTGTCCCTTTCCTATATGACCATCTTGCTGTCCCCGCTCTATATCACCATCTTGTTGTCCACGCCCTAAATCATCATTTTGTTGACCCGCCCTATGTCACCATCGTGTTGTCCATGCCCTTTACCACCATCTTGTTGTCCCATCCCTATACCACCATGATGCTGTCCCCGCTATACACCACCATCTTGTGGTCCCCGCCCTATATCAACATCTTGTTTTTTCCCCCCGCTCTACAAGACCATTTGGTTATCCCCGCTTGATATCACTATCTTGTGGTCCCCGCTCTTTACCACCATCTTGTTATCCCCGCTCTCTATCACCATGATATTTGCCCCGCTCTATAACATAATGATGTAGACCCCGCCATACACAGCCATCTTGTTGTCCCCGTTCTATACCACCATCCTGTTGTCCCCGCTCTACAACACCATGATGTTGACCTCGCCATGTTCCGCAATCTTGTTGTCCCCGCTCTACACCACCATCTTGTTGTCTCCGCTCTACAACACCATGATGTTGAGCCTCGCCATGTTCCGCCATCTTGTTGTCCCCGCTCTACACCACCATCTTGTTGTCCCCGCTCTACAACACCATGATGTTGACCCCGCCATGTTCCACCATCTTGTTGTCTCCGCTCTATATCACCATCTTGTTGTCCCCGCTCTACAACACCATGATGTTGACCTCGTCATATACCACCATGATGTTGACCCCGACATGTTCCACCATCTTGTTGTCCCCGCTCTATATCACCATCTTGTTGTCCCCGCTCTACAACACCATGATGTTGACCTCGTCATATACCACCATGATGTTGACCCCGCCATGTTCCACCATCTTGTTGTCCCCGCTCTATATCACCATCTTGTTGTCCCCGCTCTACAACACCATGATGTTGACCTCGTCATATACCACCATGATGTTGACCCCGCCATGTTCCACCATCTTGTTGTCCCCGCTCTATATCACCATCTTGTTGTCCCCGCTCTGTAACATCATGACCTTGTCCCCGCCGTAAACATCTATGATGTTGTCCCACACACGTACAACATACTTTATCACCACTGACCTAGAACTAACGATCTGTAGTTACACAAGGGGTCTTAACTGCATCCTCCCTGCAGCCACACAATGAACATGTTCACGTTGTGATAACGTTATGTTCACGTTGTGATAACGTTATGTTCACGTTGTGATAACGTCATGTTCACGTTGTGATAACGTTATGTTCACGTTGTGATAACGTTATGTTCACGTTGTGATAACGTTATGTTTACGTTGTGATAACGTTATGTTCACGTTGTGATAACGTTATGTTCACGTTGTGATAACGTTATGTTTACGTTGTGATAACGTTATGTTCACGTTGTGATAACGTTATGTTCACGTTGTGATAACGTTATGTTCACGTTGTGATAACGTTATGTTCACGTTGTGATAACGTTATGTTTACGTTGTGATAACGTTATGTTCACGTTGTGATAACGTTATGTTCACGTTGTGATAACGTTATGTTCACGTTGTGATAACGTTATGTTCACGTTGTGATAACGTTATGTTCACGTTGTGATAACGTTATGTTTACGTTGTGATAGCGTTATGTTTACGTTGTGATAACGTTATGTTCACGTTGTGATAACGTTATGTTCACGTTGTGATAACGTTATGTTCACGTTGTGATAACGTTATGTTTACGTTGTGATAACGTTATGTTCACGTTGTGATAACGTTATGTTCACGTTGTGATAACGTTATGTTCACGTTGTGATAACGTTATGTTTACGTTGTGATAACGTTATGTTCACGTTGTGATAACGTTATGTTTACGTTGTGGTAACGTTATGTTTTTACGTTGTGATAGCGTTATGTTTACGTTGTGGTAACGTTATGTTTACGTTGTGATAACGTTATGTTCACGTTGTGGTAACGTTATGTTCACGTTGTGATAACGTTATGTTTACGTTGTGATAACGTTATGTTCACGTTGTGATAACGTTATGTTCACGTTGTGATAACGTTATGTTCACGTTGTGATAACGTTATGTTCACGTTGTGATAACGTTATGTTTACGTTGTGATAACGTTATGTTCACGTTGTGATAACGTTATGTTTACGTTGTGGTAACGTTATGTTTTTACGTTGTGATAGCGTTATGTTTACGTTGTGGTAACGTTATGTTTACGTTGTGATAACGTTATGTTCACGTTGTGGTAACGTTATGTTTACGTTGTGGTAACGTTATGTTTACATTGTGATAACGTTATGTTCACGTTGTGATAACGTTATGTTCACGTTGTGATAACGTTATGTTCACGTTGTGATAACGTTATGTTTACGTTGTGATAACGTTATGTTCACGTTGTGATAACGTTATGTTTACGTTGTGGTAACGTTATGTTTTTACGTTGTGATAGCGTTATGTTTACGTTGTGGTAACGTTATGTTTACGTTGTGATAACGTTATGTTCACGTTGTGATAACGTTATGTTCACGTTGAGATAACGTTATGTTTACGTTGTGGTAACGTCAAGGATATTACAGCCATATAACGTTATTCTGTGGACTCCCATTTATGTTGTCACAACGTTGTGGGCTAGCGTTATAACACGTCATATTTACGTCGTCACAACGTTAGGATAACGTTGTATTTTACGTTGTTGGAACGAGGTATTTTTACGTTGTGGGAACGTTGTATGTTTAGGTAGTGGGAACTTTGTATGTTACGTTGAGGCAGTGTTATAATACTACGTCCCTACAACGTTATTCTGGGAACTACCATGGACGTTGTCACAAGGACGTTAAATAACTGTGTGTTAGAAGGATGAAATGCGTTGTGACAACGTTATCTCATGAAAATACCAAGCGAAAATGTTATAAAAACATCCCAAAAACATTTCGTGACGTGTTCCGGAAATGTTTTGGAATATGCTTTAGTCACGTGAATGTCTATGATTCGAGGTTCCCTTTACCAATGTTTTGAAACCAGAGCGTCGAAAAGCCCAGTTGACAAAACAGTAAGGTCGTGTTCAAAACGTTAAAACACCACTCAGCTGTTAACTAGATACATAAGACTACAACAAATAGTCAGACACCATTACCCTTTAGGCTTGTGCTACAGGAAACAAAATGAAAAATGGCAGACATGGTAAGGGGTTGACCAGTTGATATTCTGGGGAGGGTCGGGGCCTGGAATTTTGTGGAAAAATGAATTGTCGCGGAAAATTCTTGACAAAAATAATTATGTTTTAGACTGGTGAAAAAACGAAATTGTCTGCCCTAAAATGGCATAAATCTGGTTGCAATGTGCTTATCTTCAGGCTCATAGAGTTAAATATAAACATATATCTGGTTTTGTAGTTAAAAATATGAAATCTTCATTGGTCAGTCGCTAATCAAGTTTTGATTGTATATCTTCAACTTTCAGGCATGCAACGTCACCCCATTCAACAAAGAACGTCAAGACATTTTTGTGTGGATATTTAAATATTTTTAGATAATTAGCAATTTGTCGAAATTATTGATTGCCAGAATCGTCTTTCTTTGGTGTTGTCTTTATCAACTCCCATGAAATAGAAACAACTTAATAAATCTCGAGTAGGTATTTGAATTTTTATGACGAGAAACATTCCATCGGAGATACAATTATATGGTGATATATGGAGATTTCAATAATAATGTATAATATGCAAGTGTATGATGGAAACATCGTTTATCATTCAGAGACATAAAGAATCACGTTGAATTTAAAACGTGGTACGAGCACAGAACATAATACATTTATACAAATACATTCTTAGCATTCATTTAAAGCCACAAAAGCACCAAGATGTCTATAGACCATGGAATGTAACAACTGTACATACGTCTGCATAATTCACAGCCCAGAGTGTATTCCTCAATGATCCAACATTCCTGATTTCATCTCCTG